AAATGAATTCGCCAAAATGAGAACTCTTCGCTGAACTAATCTTTCTTTCTTATTTAATGTCATAATGGGTGTATTCCGTTTATTAAGAAAAACGCTAACCACAATCTCATGGATCCAGAATCATCAAAGTATCGTTCAAAAAAACGATGCACAGGATCACAGTGAATGTTATCCAGTGTTATGCACCCATCAATGATTGCAACGAAGACAATAAAGATCAGTTTCATGACGCTGTAATCGATCACAGCGAAGTGTTCAGGAAAGATCCTGACAGTCTTGAAGAGAGACCTAAACACCAAAGTCAGAATGGACAACATTGGGTATGAAGATATCATGGGACGACGTGGTTTACAAGAAAAAAAAACGAGAAAGGTGAGAGATTTGCGAATTTATGTGCATTCAACGAAATGGTTATAGGTGGCATTATATTCCGACACAAACGCATACACAAACCTAAATGGGTCTTACCGGATCACATCACGGAGAACCAGATAGATCATAATTGTATCACTAATAGTTTCAGAAGGACAATTGAAGATGTGAGAACCAGGAGAGGAGCTGATATATATTCAAATCACCACCTGGTTGTGGCCAAGATGAAACAGAAGCTAAAGAACCACTAAGCAACTGGAGAAACAATATTACACATGTTTAATACAGCCATACTTCGAGATACTAACAAACTCAACGAATTCAAGATAACTCTCAACAACAGGTTCGGAGCCTTACAATATCTACTCAAAGAAGAAGAAACCACGATGGAGGAAAATCGAGAACGGATCAAAGAAGCACTAATTACAACGTGTCATAAGGCTCTGGGCCGCAAGAAGCATCATCATAAAGAATGTATCTCTATGGAAATCCTGGACAATATTAAAGAAAGGAAGAACAAGAAGACAGTAATTAACAACAGCCGAACAAGAACAGAGAAAGTCAAGGCACAAGCTGAATACACAGAAGTAAACAAGCAAATGAAGCATTTGCGTCGACAAGAAAATATACGTGGATGACCTGACAGCGATAGCAGAAAATGTGCAAGTGAAGTAAATATGAAACAACTATATGACGCGACGAAGAAACTGGCGGAGAAATATAGTAAAACCAGAGAGACTAGCCGAGGACAAAGAAGGCAAGATAGTCACCAAGGTTCAAGAAAAGAGGAACAGATGGGTAGAATCCTTTGAGGAACTGTTAGATAGGTCAACTCCACTGAATCCACTAAATATCGAAGCAGCACCTACAGATCTTTCTATACATGTCACTCCACCAACGATCGAAGTAATCAGGATGGCCGTCAGATAAATCAAGAGCGGGAAAGCAGTAGGACCTGACAGTATACCAGTCGAAGCACTTAAGTCAGTCATAGTAGTAACTGCAAAGATGCTCCAAGTTCTATTCAGGAAGATTTGGCGGGAGAAACAAGTGTCACTGACAAATTGGAAGGAAGGATACATCATCAAGATATCAAAGAAAGCAGATCTCAGTGAGTGTGAGAACTAATTAAAAAATTTGTTTAGGGGTTGTGGAGATTGTCAAGTTTTTGATCGAGATCATGAACCGATTGATGTCAGACCACCTTGAAAACCTGGAAGCAATGGACGGCCGTTTCGTCTCATTGTGGGACTTCTCAGCAATGCGCATCCACGATCCCGCTCGTAGGATTCGAATTCAGAGCCTTCAGTCTCGAGCGCGAACGCTTAACCTATTGGGTCACTGAGCCGGCATCCAATGGTGTTAATCTCTAACCTCAACCAATCCACAGAGTTGAGCGACCATCTTCAACACAGTGTTGTTGAACCGAACGAAAAACTCAATACACGCCCAACCTCGAGATCAACAGAATGGATTCCGTAATGATCGGACGCATACAGACCAAAACCCAACACTAAAGATCATTGTTGGACAATCAGTTGATTGGAACTCGTCACCATACATCATTTTTCTTGATTATGAACGAATGTTTGACAGTATGGATAGGAGGACCTTATGGAATGTTCTTCTACACAACGTTGTAGGTAGCTGAGAAGGTTGTCAACATCAACCAGAATTCATAAGACGGACTACACTGCATAGTGGTGCATGGAGGACAGCTGACAGACGCATTCCAAATGAGGACCGGAGTCAGACAAGGCTGTCTACTCTCACCCTTCCTCTTTCTTCTGGTGGTCGACTGCATTATGACCTCGATATCTGAGGGAAATCACGGAACACAATGGAAAGCTCGAAACCAACTAGACGATTTGAGCTTCGCAGATGACCTGGCATTTTTATCCCATACACACCAACAAATGCAGATGAAGACAACCAGTGTAGCAGCAGTCTCTGCATCAGTAGGCCTCAACATACACAAGGGAAAAAGTAAGATCACCAAATACAATACGGAGAACACCAACCCAATCACACTTGGTGAAACTCTGGAAGAAGTGTAAGCTTTCACCAACCTCATCATCGATGAACAAAAAGGATCCGATGCAGACGTAAAGGTAAAGATTGGCAAAGCAAGGACACCATTCCTATAGTTGAAGAACATGCGGAACTCAAAACAACTATCAACCAATATCAAAGTCAGAATCCTCAAATGAAATTAAATGAAAAGAATTGTCCAGGACAGATTTCGATGGAGGATGTTGGTGGGCGGCTTATGCTCCTCGACGGGGGTTAACAGAAGTAAGCGATTATTTTCTTCTCATGTTTTTTTAGCTCATCACATAGATTCTGATCTATATACCCAGTTCTAAGTCATACCCTAAATTTAATGTATAATTATATTACCCAGTCATCCAAACCGAACTAGGTGAAGTAGTTTCGAACCTGCAACTTAATAGCTAAAAGCCAAATGCTTAACCAGACCTAAAGCATTCATTAACAATTATAAATACACTTAACAAGGTAATTTGATATTAGTTTTAAGGAGAATTAGATATCAACCAGGTTCTTTAAAACGTGATCAGAACGGATTAAACCTTAGGTGCAACCAAAAGTATACAATAACCGCGTTATACAGCATCTTTAACAGTCCTAATGCAAAGACCAAATATGATCATGTCTGATGAATCAACTAGAATAGTCATGAAAATAGTATTTAGTTATCTCAATCCAAATTATCTTAAAGTAACGAACTCTCAACCAGTTCATCATTGAACTACAGGAACTGTGTGATGACATAAATTTCGTCAGTACAAAAGGATACCGTGCATCTATTCTCTTAGCCTAATCAGATCGCATCAAAAATTGTTAGAAATTCGTTATTTTTGTAGTCACTAAGAGAATGGGACGTAACTTACATACAGAACAATAATTAACAAAGTACCTTAAACTGACATGATCACTGATTACAAAATCTTTTCCTTATGGAATTATTTCCCTTCCTTAAAATCCAGGGAGAAAAATACTCCTGAATGCATAAGTAAAGACACTAGTTCTGATCCATACATAACTGAGCAGAAAATTATTCAGGTCGAAATATCTGAACAAAATCACCGCAACAGTATTAATAATATTAATTAAATCTGATGTGAACAGATTTAGAAGAGTAATAGACGTAAATCCAGAAATATGGAACGTTAAAACTTCCCAACGGCAGAAAGTATAACCAACTTATAGAAATAAGCGAAAGTTGTTAAGTACCTTTTAGTTTGAATAAATACATTAATATTATTTTGGCTACAAAAATCAAATTAGAATTGATCTCTTCAATTACGAATGTAAAATCCACCAGCACATTGACTTAATAAACTTCGTCCAATATGTATAACAGACAATTCTGTTCGTCACATGTATATTCTAGGTCGGGAGGACCAGGAAAGAAATAAGAAGGAGAATTAGAGGATAGATTTAATAATTATAGATGCGGATGAGCAAATCTAAACTTCTGCAATTGATCTCTTGCCAAATCACCTAGTTTCTTATGATAAAAGTATGATTATCCGACGGATCCCAATTACCGAATTTGCGCCTTTTCAGATGACTTAAGTAAATGGTCAGTGACTTTTCAGACCGTCACATTCTAGTATTCTTCCCAATTCACTTCTATCCTAGTCAACATATCGACTGGTCCCAATTGGACATGAGTAACGTGATCTATAGACATCTCAATCAACACGTCATTGAAATGGTTTAAAAAAGTGTGATACTTGATGTGCTCCAGCTGGAGCCACTAGTTTGAATAATAAATGGTTAGGAACACGGGTAGGGGAAATCCTAAGAGAATTAGGTTGACAGGCAACAAAGCAATCATAACATGTATTTATTTTTTTTATTATCAAATGAAAATTATAAGACTAAATGAAAAATATACTCAACATTATATATCAAGAGGTCCGTATAGACGGAGCAAAAGATGAAACAAATCTCCAAGGAAAGTTAGTCACTTGAACACAAATTTTACAACTATCCAATCAGGCACTTCTATATGATACATGGAAACTGCGCTTGAAATATTTTAATCGTCTCATATTTTTTCGAAAAAAAAAATAAGTGCAGCATATAGAAACGTGTATAGTATGCACAAACACGCACATACACAACAATATTATTTGTATGTATAAATAAGTTCGTTATTCGACAGATTAGAATGTAGCACATATAGGCAGTCAGCTTTCGATGTTCAGTTCACATGGTTGTAAATTACTTTTTTCATCATCCAACGAATACTTTTATTCAAAATGGAGATTGTAATTCATCGCAGTTAAGTTATAATGAAACACAGGACGACATATTATTTAGAAGGTTAAGAGTGGCAAATAGCTATTTTATATGTATATCCACAACTATATATAACACTGAAGATGGGTGTAGAGAGAGGAGGGAGAAATAAATAACAATACGATTTCAAAGTATACACACAGAGGGGGAAATAATAAGTCATTATCGGAGACGAAATTATATATATATATATATATATATTGTAACTTCTGAAAGAGACAAATCAAAAATGTGATTTTAAAAATTTATTTAAACAAAGAAGTTGAATAATGGAACATTTTTCTGGAGAGAAAAATTCAAGATCCTTCTTGTCCAAATTCATCTGTAAATTTACGATGTTTTGCTAAATCTTCAGCATTTACAGTTGGCTTATTTCGTTCTAATGAACTCAACATATCATGCTGTAAAGCAAAAGGAAATAAACAAAGAATTAAGAAATTTTTTGGATCAAAACTGTACCAGTATCAATATAAGTGATGACTAACTTACTAGTGTAATAAATGTATCACAAATAAATAAACATTTTTTTAAAATAAAATATGCAATAAGTTTTGGTGACCCTATATCTGACTCCAGATTGGAAGGCTGTGTATTCGAATCACGTTAGCCTTACCAATTTAGTGGCCCTGTAATATCTGACTCCATTTTGATCGTGTGATTATCTTTGTCGGCCTATACATATCGTCAATCCTCGTATATAATTATTGAATTAAATCGCGTCATTGAATAACGGAATTAAATAAGTTAAATATAAGAATGAAGTTTTGAACCTGTATATTTTGTACAATCGTTGATCAGAACAGACAATCGGAGAGACGAAGCGAAGAGAGCGATGCGAAATGGATTGGAGAAGGCATGTGAGCCAACTACGTTTCCCTTCGCTCCGTCTCTCCGATTGTCTGTTCTGATCAACGATTGTAAAAAATATACAGATTCAAAACTTCATTCTTATATTTAACTTATCTAATTCCGTTATTCAATGACGCGATTTAATTCAATAATTATATACGAGGATTGACGATATGTATAAGCCGACAAAGATAATCACACGATCAAAATGGAGTCAGATATTACAGAGTCACTAAAAAGTGGTAGTTATTTAGTCTGAAATCATAAACTTAACATCTTAGAAATCCCCGACAATTCTACATGTTTTAGATATGAGAACAAGTTTTTTTGAAAATTAACGACTTACTTATGACCATTAGCTTGATCTTAAGCTTAAATTTTTCAACAGATTCTTTAGGTTTGATCCAGTTAACAATATTTCTAGTACTTCTGGAAAGTCAGTTACTGAAATCCAGTTACGCACTTCAGTAAATGCAAATGCGAAAATTTACCGGTGTTCGATATTTATGCATTTGAAAAAAGGGTTTTCTCTACGAAGACTGTCAACTTAGTTTTGTGTATTCGGTTTAACACTGTTATGAATAATTCATATAATAGTTTAATTACGTGCATAGTAATTTTGTAAAAGTTCATATGGTATAAGCATCAATTATTGCTGTAAAAAAACATTAATGGAACAAGTTACATAAAATCGAATAACATGACTTTTCTACTGTATAAAATAACGAAATACAAATTTGATGATAGTGACTTTTATTTCCACAAAATTAGATAAAATCTGTATCCAGTTTAATGATAGAGAGAAAGCTCTATACACCCCACAGACATATTAACACAACTCATACGGGTTAATGTGAGTACATTATTTCACATTATTGTTATATTAACAACACTTTCATTTCTATTAGACAACCATAATTGATATTTACTAATTTCTACGCTAAATAGTGAATTGTCATAAAATTATACATATACGGATAAACAGATACAAAAATATAGAATTATACTACTGAAAAAATTCATTATCAAATTAAGAATAGGAAAAATAAATAACAAACAAACCATAGCAACTGGGGGCTCCCTAAGTTTATCACTTGGGACTTTTTTCCAATCCATTTCTATTGCACCATGATCTCCCGGGGAGCACGGCATTAAAAGATCATTGACGATCTTTGATGGATCAGTAGGAGAAGGACCAGTAACCTATCAAAACAAAACAATTTAAACGATCAGAAATACAAAATGAATTGTAAATCAATGAAAGGACTGCAGATAAATATCGAGTAATTTAGCTGATTTAAGATAACTTAGCAGACAGGTTCATGTATGTTTACTCTAACGCGAGTCATACTTTGGTGTGACCAATAATGATGTTATCTGATTGCTAAAACTAAAATAGACTATATGGGATCAACTGTGCAACTTAACGATTGGAAGGCAACTGACCTAACCACTGATTCATAGCTCTATTGATACCGCATAATCCTCAAATACAAACAGATTAAAATGAACCTTCACATATGCCATTTTATAGTTTGTCTAAGCCCAATACATATTAAAGCCAATATCTCAATGTTACTGCATATTAAAAAAGTGGTATGAAAAGATATCTCTTTAGGGTTCAAGAGGCTTCGGTTAGTCAACCAGTGCTTCTTAACGTAGAATCTAGTATAAGTTTATGCAACGGTTGCTACACCTGACACTAAGATGGGAAGCATGTGATAAGAAATGATATTGAAAGTAATGAAAATTTAAATATTAACAAATGAGATCAAAGTATGGGAAGCTATGGATGACATTTAATTCAAGACTTAGAGTAAGACGGAACTGAATAACTGGAACCTATTTTATACTATGACATTAATCATCTTAGATCGTTGATTACGAGTATCAGTTTTAGAGTCCTGGTATCAAACTATTCGGATCAATTCAACTGTTTCATCTGTACGGAAATATTATTAGCTAATCTTTCGTTTTGAAACTGATATCGAGACAACAAGCAAATGTTTCAACCAAATTTAATCCAATAAAAAGAAGTAAATAAGATCATGTTGATGAAATGAAAAAATAACAGTGTAAAACAACTGAAAAGTGCACAAAATTTCCTAATAATCTTTTCTTTAGAAAAGAGTAGTTGTCAATGTTCTACATTGTGACTATTTCATCTACTTAAACCTTTTTGATATATTAACAATATCCGTTTCCGTCAAATCTGTGAAATGTAGAAAGTATCCCTTTATCCCTCTAATCATTTGAATCAAGTTTCAATGTGTTCACGCGTAATCATTATATTTACAACAAAGGCTTAACACAGCTGATAGTATTAAAAAAAGACGAAACTACAGGTATAAGACTTCGAATTAATTTAATATCATCTCGGGGAGAGGGTCCAGAAATACAATTCACTGACATATGTCCCTGAGAGTGTTACTGGTCTTTTGAAAACTGTGTACAAAAACACATCTCGAAGAACGAAGGTATAATACCAACCCTACTGTTGTACTCCAAAAGCGGGACTAGATAGGTTTGCCAAACTCGACTATTCCTTTCCAGTTTTCCAACTGATGAAACTCTGGAAACAGTTCTGAAGAAAATATCCGATAGCGATGTAAATCTGTTCCCAAGACAGGCTTTAGACCTGGAGCACGCGGATGATAGTCTAACAGTGATCACATACAAGCTATCCAAACCGTACTTAATAAGTTGTTAATTAGTATTATTCAGTATTGCACGTACCTTGTGCCTTAGAAGTTCAAAGAGCCTCTGTAGAACTCATAGGATTATGTTCAGGCATACACTCTTTGTGGTGAACCGGTGGATGTAGTTTAAAACCTCATGCACCATTTTTTTCATTAATTGATGACATATAGGAGCTTAGGTTAGATGAGTATTAATGTAATAAAGATTAATACAATTAAAAAGACTTACATATTTAAAGTGTGTTGACGTTTGAACCTTCCGAACGGGCATCATTAAAGCTTCCCGAACAACAACTGATATGTCCGCACCTGAATAACCTGTGCTCCTTGCCCCAAGTTCAATAAAGTCTTTTTCTACCAGACTATGAAATATGTTCCCCAGATTCGTTTTGAACATACTAACACGTTCACCTGTTTCAGGAAGGGGAATATATATACGCTTTTCAAAACGACGACGTATAGCGGAATCTAAAGTCCAAGGAGTATTTGTAGCTGCCAACACTAGGACGTTTTGATTATTCGAACAGACACCCTGAAACGATGGTAAGAATAATGCATGTCAAAAACACATCAACTTCTTCATCAGAGATATCGAAAATACCTAAAGAGTAGACACGATTTCCCAAGTTAGCGTACATAGCTCCTTACCGAAAATATCACCCTTAGATCATTTTTGAAAGAGAAACCTAAAGCATTATTGGTTTACATTAACAGCAATCGCATACAGATACTCTAAGCTTAGCTGATCTTCTGAAACCTAGTAACTGAGATATTTCAAACCATACTTTAAATGGTGCAAACTAAAAGCACAACAATCCTAAGCCAAATAATTGATGTTATTTTCGCTGATAAGATGAATATGTGGGTGCTTGCATGATACAAATGAAGTGAAAAGCACCTATACTGCTTCATACAGCCGCTCGTTTGAAAATATTATTACACTATCTCTCAAGAAACGTTTCGCGTATTTATTTTTGGCTTAAAAGTTCGTCTCAAACAAGCGAAGATGGAGTCATTGAAGGGAGTTCCGAAAGATTTATATACAGACAAAAATTCTGAACTATTCAGTGTATTTCAGTCAGTCAGCTACAACGTAGGACCAGGCACATATGTGCATCAGTCCAAGTTGCCATACCTCATTAACACAACAAGATCGACACTGGATTCATAAAAGTAGTTAATTCAGAGGTGGTAATATATAAAAGATTGCATATAAAGATATAGTACAAGAAGAAAGAATTAGTTCGTAGAAAGAAACATATGAAGCGATTTTAATCTCTTAGTTTAAGGAAAGACAGAGAGTGTATACACCGACGCCATTGTGATCGGTTCTGAGCCGTCACCCAGAGTCTCCAACTATTGGTTACGATAGTCACGCGGACCCCAACCAAGTAGTTTGCATCTCCCAACATGGCTCAGACTAGAAGTTAGTGACTTCAATGACTAATGCCACGTTTTGGTTTGGCCTCCCCTAACTTTATTCTTCAGTGTATTTAAATAAAGATTATTGCGGATTACTTATAGACAAAACAAACCACTATAATCCAACTATTTTTAAAATCTTTCTTACAACAACAACAGCCTAAATGTTCGAAAATTTACCAACTAGCTTTAATTTAAACGCAATTTTTCTAGACTCCTATTACATTAATGTTGGTAAAATAAAATGTGAAACTCATAAGTCTAGAATACGTACTTGCATTTGAACAAGAAATTCGGTTTTATCCGTCTTGTAGACTCGGACTCGTTATCATTACGTGACCCGCATAATGAATCAACTTCATCGATGAAGATTATACTTGGTTTTTGTTCTCTAGCCATTGCAAATAGTGATCTCACCAATTTCTCAGATTCACCAAGCCACTTACTAACCAAATCTGAGCTTGAAACGGATAAAAACGTTGAATTGTTTGCTTCGGTTGCAACAGCTTTGGCCAAATATGATTTACCAGTTCCAGGTGGCTAAATTTCCAAATGAGAAACTTCGTTACTTAGAGACCATGAAGTTGAGACTCAAACAGACTAATTACAGTATGTTGGACAAATATTATAAAACAACAAAGCATTAACACCAAAAGGCTCCTGAACCATGAAGAAAAACAAATTCACGAACTATTCATTTAATTAAGGTAACAAACACGAGAATGCTATGAACTAACTTTTCATAAACTCCAAGATTCAATCTTTAATTTCCCTTAGATTCTTAGTTTTAAAGTGCTTCTTTAGATATTTTATTTCAGGGATTTTTCGTCTCCAATCGTATTCTCTACTTATATTCTTTATTAATACGCTGATACTACTACCAGTGCTACTACTTTGGCTTTAAATTTGATAATTTCATCTCCCTGTCCTGATATGGTGAGGTAATTTAAACTGTGTGGATATGTGTCAGGCTCTACGTTGCCAATAAATAAACGAAAGGATAAAAATTAAAAAGACTCAGAAGAAAATTTGTGCATTTAAAAGCAGTGATGGGGAGAGCCAATCAGTAGTAGCCTAATGGGAAATTCGATCGATGGCAATCAGAAATGGCCTAAAGATCAAGTGGATTTCAATGGTTAAGCAATGGATCAATTTTCTGAGGACTGGAGTGGTATATATATGAATGAGTATTCGTGAATTTTATTCAGCAGCCCAAATACTCTGGTACAGCCGAGGGTGGGGAGAGTCAGCTCCCGCACTCGAAATGCTCTCACATGGCCACACGTATACAGCCTCTGTCAGGGAAGTCCTACTCACTGCCTCCTTGCACCGCGGGTGTTGTTTACGAAATTGAGAGGACGAGAAGCGAATGTTCGGCGCTTTAACCGGGTTGGTGGACACGGAGGGTCCACCTAGGACAGTTGGAATACCCTGATTCCAAACCAATGGTGCACATGGGCTCAAGGATCGTGAGGGGACAAAATGTGAATGAACCTATTATCGGTCACCGGCTACCATTGGACTGCATCTCCTGACGTTGCTCCACTGCCTTGTGGATCAGACCTTTAGGTCGAAGGCTCCGGGTGTGGCTCCCTAAGAAAACCACCTGCTTCGGTCTAGGGCACCCGGGCAGTATTACAGCTCACACATAAATCAAGTGACTTGTGTGGCGCATATGTATTCAGTGTTCCTTCGTACCAATATTTATGTATTCAAATAAATAAAGAAATACATTCTCGCCCAGTAGTCAGTTGGTAAGCTAACACGAAGCACACCGTATATCAATATTAGATTTCGGATACTGCCCGTCACAACAAGTAAAGTTAAGATAAGGGTGTAAAAACTGAAATCAAATATTTTTGATCACATGAAAACAACCCAATATACGAAAACCAGTTGAATTCTTTAAAGCCTAATTAAAGTAACCTTTTTACATTGTGTATGTGTATGCAATAACATTGTGTGTGTAACAGCAGTGTTACTGGTTCTGCAGTACAACAAAAACGGATAGTTACTTTAATCTTTCCATTCAAACGTTTAGTAGCAAAAATAACAAAGATAAAACAGTTGTTCCTTCACAATAATTGGATACTAATATTTGTTTACCTCAGTTTATAATTGTTAGCGGGATATAGATTGGATTAAAGCATGTTCTGAATAGGATTGTGTTGGGGCACGCTGATTGGTTATGTCTTACCTGACCAGCGCTGGCAGAGACTTGGGGAAGACTCTAGAATCACCCTACGTAAAAATTATAAATATACTAACGATTTTCTTATTGAGATTCCTACTTCCACCCACCATTGTTCTTTGGAATATAATTACATTACTGTTCAACCGCGTTCTGATTTGGGGACTTTTCAAGTGAAGCAGTGTCCAAGAAATACTAAGCAATAAGAGTAGCTGGGTCGTAATAAGAGAAATCATAATAGTGGCGATGGGGAAAAAGGAAAAAAATTCAAGATGCCCATATCAGATGACCAGCTCAACCGAATACTACAATAACAGCAAGCACAACTTGATACACAATTGCGATTGTTGGAAACTCTGACGCAACAGCTTAACATCGACTGCTCGAGCTCATAAGCTAGTTCAAGTACTTCTTTTAATGAAGTTTCTGGCAGAACCTCAGAACTCAACTATGACCCTGAAAATGGAAATACCTTTCCCCACGAGATTCAAGCGTTGGGAAAACATATTTAGAGGAGAATTCTACAAACAAAATGACTCGTTTGTTGATGCGTAAGTTGGGAAGCAATGAACATGCACGTTATGCTGACCATATATTGCCAAAGTTACCTCGAGAGCTCAGTTTCGAGACGGTAACTCAATCGTCAGAGATATTCGGTGAATCATTCTCATTGTCTAGTATTCGATATCAGTGTTTAAATTTGGTGAAACGCGAAGCCGATGAATATGATGCTCTACAGATGTCATCAACCGAGTGTGAGAGGTTCAATTTACGCTCATTGACGGAAGACCAATTTAAATGCCTAACATTCATCAAAGCTCTTCAGTCACCACAAGGTGCTGAGATTAGGACCAGACTTTTAGCTTGACTGGATCAAGATCCAAGCGTCACATTTAGGAAACTGACAGATGAGTGTAAACGACTACAATATATCAGACACGACAATGAGTTAATTGGACAAGTCAATCCGAACTTGACCTGCAGTAGCATCAATGCTATTACTAGGTAAAAAAAAAGCTCAGAAGCTGAGAATAACTCGTAACAAGCCAATGACTGCCTGTTGGTTACGTGGTGATTGGCATTATGTACGGCTCTGCCTATTTAAGAAGCATAAATGTCAGGTGTGCAACAGACACAGACATGAAGGTCATTGTCCACCAAATCGCACGTTCCAGCCCAAGAAGAAACAAAAACGTCCTCGAAAAGTGGTGAAATCAGACAAATCTGAATCACCTTCTCCAGCAGCAGCTTTCCAAACCGACTATGACATTTAGAGGAAGTATGTTGTTATCTTAATTAACGGCACCTGAATACGTCTTCACGTTGATATGACACCCGATATCACCCTAGTTTCTAGAGAAACGTATAACCTGCTTGGGAAACCGCCAATGACTATCAACACTCATCGAGTTAATTCAATATGCCCGCCTACCATTTGACATTAAGACTGCACCTGACATCTTTAAGCAAATAATGGATACAATGCTAATAGGTATGCCTGGTACAGCAGCTCATCTAGATGATATCATAGTTATGGGTTCAACTGACAGCGAACTTTCTGATCGACTACATCAAGCTTTTAACCGAGTGATGGACTATGGTTTCCAACGATATGAAGAAAAGTGTATCTTCATGCATTCGATCAAATACCTTGATTTCATCTTGGATAAGAACGGTCCTCAACCAGACCCTGTCAACATAGAAGATGCCTGCACCAACTGATGTTCCTTCATGAAGATCCTTCTTGGGATTAATTGGTCATTAGAGTACAATTCTGCCTGAAATGAATCGAGTAAGAGGTCCCCTGAATGGATTACTATAAATGACAAACCTTGGCAATGGTCAGCAGAATGTCAAGCATCTTTCAACAAAGTCAAATCAATGCGTAGCTCAAAGCTACTTTTAACACACTCTGATCCCAACTTGAGAAGTGTTGTTGCATCTGATGCCCGTAGTTTTGTAAGGAAATGAAGACTTGTTAGTTGGAGTCCATAAGATAGGCGTAATATCATAGAATTCTTTTTACTCACTGATTTTATCCCTTTCACCAACTTTAAATTTCTTTCTTATTTTAGTTTTCCACTAGCATTGATTTTATGCATTGTTGTTCCTTTGAATTTCATTTTACTTAGTTGTGATAGCCTGAAGCAATAAGCTTTTGAGTCAGATTCAATGTCATTCGTACTGAATGTAACTGATAAATATGGTATTTAGACTTTATAATGGAAAATTCGGAAGGAAAACACTTATTTTGGACTAATGAAATGTGATTCAACACTTATAATTAATCTGAATATCATGAGTGAGATGAAAGCAGCTCCTCCACGCTAATCTGACTAGCTTAGATTTTTTTCGAATTGCTTTGACGATATTTTGATATCGATAGACTACCCACAATAAACTGATTTCAGTAAGTCTATTTACATTGATAGTCAAATTTTGAAGAGAATCAACTGAGTAGAACTTTCAGCTGGCGAATCAGTGACCTACTGTATGAGTAAAATTTACAAAAAACTGTAAGATCGAAATTACGCGACCGAGAAATATAAATGATTTAGTGAGTTATATCTTTCCTCCAACGTGATAACAAACTTAAACTTACTAGAATTCTGACGCCCAAAATAGAGTAGTTTGTTTACCAAGATCTGAAAGCACCATACAATTGTAGTAACACGCCATAGTTGCAAAACAACCATGTACTGAATCAAATTAGAAAACCTTAATATCATCTGTCAACCACCCAGTCACGAGCTAAAATGTCTTTTCATACATTTTCATTTGAATAGCCGGAAAATATCTTTCATTTTAACACATGTGGTGTAAAGTCGAAGACAAGTAAGTAAACATTGTTAGTTACATTAATTTTGCACTTAGAAGCAATCTTTGGATGAGGCGTTAACATCAAAAACTGTTTTAATTGAGGTCTGGATAAATGGTACGACTTACGCCGTAAAGAAGAATCCCTCTCCAAGGAGTACGCTTTCCAGTGAACAGGTGTGGAAACTTTATAGGTAGAATCACCGCCTCCTTCAAAGCTTCCTTTGCTGACTGTAGACCAATGACATCATCCCAGCTGATATTAGGTTTTTCAGTCACTATCGCTCCTTGCAACTGAAGTTGAAAACGTGAGTTTTCGCCGTCTTCCTTATCAGAATCATCTCTTTTCTTTTCCCTTGTACCACCAGAGTTTGCTTCCTACAAAAATATGTGTTTTAAACATGACATACAGACTAGTCAACAAATCAAAATACAAGTACAAAACGATATTTTTGACTATGGTCGCTAGCACTTAGAAATTTACTTATTTATTTATTTATTTGAACACAAGTATTGGTACAAGGAGGCACCAAATATAAATGCGCCACAAAAAACAAAGAGGATGGGAAAAGAAAAAAGAAGGTAAGAAGTGTGAAAGGAAAATAAAAAGAACAAAAAGGACCAGATTAGTGTAAGGTAGTGTAATAATAATAATGGGGGAAACAGAAACGTATAATCAGAAGAATCCTTTCAGTTAAGGAAGAAGCAATCACTTTTTGTGAAGACGATCCCAGAGAACAGTCCTATCCAACGAATCGAAGGCAGCCCTGATGTCAAGAAATACTACGATTGTTGGTATTTGATAAGTATGATGGTGTTCTAACAATTGGCAGAGGGTGGAGATATGATCAACACATCCTCGACCAGAACGCAAACCAGCCTGCTCCTCTCGAGTCAATCTTTCTCGGGTTTTGAACAACCTACGAAGTATGACGGAAGCCAATAGCTTGGACGCAATCGGAAGTAGACTTATCCCCCGATAGTTGTTACAGGAACGACATGAACCCTTTTTAAAGATAGAGACAACTATCGACTCATTCCATGACGTTGGTACACTCTCTAGCTCCCAGACCTTTGTAAACAACGTCGTCAGTTCCCTAGTCAGAAAGTCACCATCATCTTTAAAAAGAGCCAGAGGTAAGTCATCTGGGCCAGGTGATTTGTAGCGCTTCAAGAGTTGGAGTTACTTGCGGACTTCCATCTCATTTGGTGGATTAGTCAGTCAATTAGTAACAACGTAGAACTTCGTACGTACGTACATCAGTTCGAGTTGCCACACCACATTAGCACAGAAATGCAGTGGTCGATTCAAATACCGTAGTGGGTAGAGGTGGTAAGAGTATAAGCAGTTGTCAGAAAGATTAGGGTTTGAAGATGTTATTCAAGAAGTATAATCCAGTGAAATAAATTTGGGAAGAGGAAAAAAGGGACATGAAGAATTCAGAAGATTAGAATTTGGGAGAACACAAAGAGTGGATGCACTTGCGCCATTGCAAACGATTCAAGGTCTCTAACCATCGGTTGCTACCATCTCGCGGATCCCAACCAGGTAGTCTACATCTACCAACATGGCTCAGTCCACCTGTTAGTGACTTTATGGATTTGTGCCACGTTTTGGCCTGGTCGCCCCTAGCTTCCTTCCAACGTACCCCTACATCATAAAACATCGCACGTCGGGTCAGTTGGTGGTTGGGCATACGTAACACGTGTCCCAGCCATTTCAACTGATGAAGTTTCATTACTTCATCAACTTATTTGCCATCCTTACCTAGTACCCGTTTCCTAACAACTGCGTTACTTACTCGATGGTCCCATGATATACGAGCAATGTTTCGAAGACACCTATGATCAAATACTAGTAACCTACGAATATCCTCTACTCTTACCGGCCATGTTTCACTGCCATAAAGTAGGACGGAACGAACTGCTGCGCAGTAAACACGTCCTTTGGTTGATAGACGGATATCTCGCCTACGCCATAAATGACGCAAGTTGGCAAAAGCTAGTCGAGCCTTCTGTATCCGTGCTGAGATTTCGTCACACACTAAACCACAAGGGCTGATGAGACTTCCAAGATAAGTGAAGCGGTCGACACACTCAACTACTTCACTCCCTATCACTAGTTCGGGTGTCGATGTAACCCAATCCTGAAGCAACATTTTGCATTTCGAGGGAGAGAATCGCATCCCGAACATGCTTGCATTGTTGCTTAGAGTGGTCAGAAGACTCTGCATTTTGTCAGCGTCTTCACCAAATAAAACTATGTCATCAGCATATTCTAAGTCAACAAGTGAACCCCCGGTAGAAGTTCAACCCCTTGAAATTTAGATGAGGAGAGTGTTATCTCTAAAAGTACGTCAACGACAAAGTTGAACAAGAATGGGGAGAGTGGACAGCCCTGACGAACACCACTTGAGGTAATCAATTCTGATGACAGTTCGCCATAAGCTCTCACTCTACCAGTTGTGTTCGAGTAGAGAGCCTTTATAAGGTTAATGTACTTCTTTGGTACTCCTTTCAGTGACAAACACTGCCATAGAACCTCACGATCAACAGAGTCGAATGCCGCCTTAAGGTCGAGAAATACTACCATTGTGGGGCGTCTGAATGTGTGTCTGTGTTCTAGAACCTGACGTAGTGTGAATATCTGATCTATACAACCACGTCCAGGTCGAAAACCAGCCTGGTTTTCTCTAGTCTGCTCTTCACGAGCTTTGTTAGGCGTCGAAGTATTATTGAAGCTAATATTTTAGACACTATATTAGTCAAACTGATTCCTCTGTGATTGTCACAAGAGGACTTTTGTCCTTTCTTAAAAACTGGCACAATCAGTGATTGAGACCAGTCAGATGGGATTACGTCCAGTTCCCAAATTCTACCTAAGACCTCAGTTAATCTCACTGCTAATACTGGACCACCATCCTTAAAAATCTCAGGAGTAAACCTGTCAGGGCCTGCTGCTCTCCCTCGCTTCAGATTTCCTATGGCTTTTTCAACTTCGTAAAGAGACGGAGGACCTACATTAACTTGCCATTCAGGTTGACTGGAGATCGTGGGAAACCGAAGTGTGGCTGAAGGCCAGTTGAACTGATCCCTAAAGTGTTCTGCCCATCGATCCAATCTCCTGGATTGAGAATGTATAATATGTCCATCTGTCTCTGAGATAGTTTCGCTAACAGTCGGTTTCCTAATACCGGTTTCCTTAACAAGTCTGAACAATTGTTTGCTATTACCTATTGCCTCTCCTCATTATGTTCAGAGCCAGGTGGAGTGAGTTTCCGAGCATCTATCAGTGCGATAGATGCTGCTGAGATCCATTGTTTCTCCCTAACCTTATGGTTTACCGTACTAGCAGATATCACTGCTGTTTCCACAGCTTTTCGGATATCATTGCATGCTGCATCGGGGTGGGCATCACATACATGGCTGCCTAACTGTTTTCCTAGTTGTTCCTGAAATATATTCTTAGCTTGACTATCATTAAGTAGGGCCCTAAGAGGTTTCCTTGCAGCGTCTTTCCTACGTCCAGTAAGACGCAGACAATACGCGCTCACACTAGAGCATGATCTGAATCTAAGCATGTGCTCCAGAATGAGTGACAGTCTTCTATCGAGCCCCTCCATCGGTGGTAGATAGCGATGTGATCTATTTCGGTCCAACGTTGGGACGAATTCGAGGGTCGCTATGTTAAAAGATCTTTTGCTTATGCTTAAAGTTAGTATTTGCAAGAAACAGGCGGTTATCTGAGCATAGCTGTAACAGACGGTCGCCATTATCTGTTCTTTGAGCCACGACTCCATAAGATCCCCCCAGGTGTCTTTCCCTTTCGCTTAGTTTACCTACTTGAGCATTAAAGTCACCAGCCACTATTATTACATCAGAGCGCCTAGCTTTTCGGAGGTCGGAAAGCTTTCTATAAAACTCATCTTTTACATCATTTGAGCTGCAGTCAGTGGGAGAATAGGCGGAGACGACGAAGAGGCAACGACGAGTGTCCCTATCTTTCCGAGTCCTTATTGTTCCGTTTAGTCGGACAGTGCACAAACGACTGTCTACTTGGATCCAGTCTACAAGAGCTAGTTCTACCCTAGGGCTCGACGCTATACCTACACCAGCAAGGCCACGGGAAGCAGAATCAGGGCTTCCAGATACACAGTGTGAATCGATTTGGTTCTGTATTTTGACATGGTGAGGTCAAATGAATGACGCTACTCAGATCATATATGCGCGTTTCGGAGACACAGCACACATCTATGGCGCGAGATTCTAAAGTCCTGGCTAAGGAAGCTTGTTGTCCTATTTGGCACAGTGTTCGGACGTTAAAAGCTCTTACGTGTAGTTTGGAGCGTGGTTTCAGGAGACGAGGATTAGTGTTCCGCGTACTCGAATCGTTCGCCCTAGCAGTGCGAGGTGATAAAGGGACGTGAGAAGAGTTTGTCGGGGAGATAAGAGAGATATTAGGTGTAGGAAGGATTTGAATGTGACCAACTTGGTCTCGTGTGCTGTTACGAGTATGAAAGCTGATGTCACTTCCCGGCTGTCCACACCGTGGAACGGTATTTCTTGAGGAACTTGAAAAGGAAGTTGGATTATTGTTGGCCTCAACGACCTGGGAGCGTGACCGCAGAGCCCAAGGGACAACTGCCTAAGGCCGGTCGCGCACGGCTTTTTCGTGGGAGGTTTTTAATGTGTTAGCTCCGTTCTTCAAAGGGCCTTACCGCCGGAGACGGAAATCCGTGAGGTAAAGTGAGGTGTGACATCTTCAGTGTCGACCATTTCTAACCCCGTCCTTCCTTGTGAGAAGGCAGCATCGCTGCAAATGCTGGTTGCCCGGGGGAAACATCTTACTGCTGTCACACCCCTCTACAGTCAGCAATACGACTTCGCCCTTAGACCTTGAGTTGCTGCTTTTAGTCTTACCGTTCTCCAATCGACCTGTCTGGCATGGTAGAACCTACAGAAACATATGTTCCAGCCAATATAGCTCGGTTGGGTCATCACGATAGGCAAGCCCGACCACCGCGTCAAGGTAGCAGCTACGGTCACCGGCCATGGAGGGCAGGACAGTCTGACCGATGTTGGCGGAGCAGCAGGCCAGTTGAACTGCCCTTCGAAAAACTCTGCCCATCGTTCAAGACATCGATGGATGTTAGTGATTGGCATCCCGTCATCCTCATAAATTGTTTCGCTCACACCAGACTTCTTGCTGCCAGTGGCCCGGATGAGTTGGAAGAGCTTCCGGTATTTACCAAATGCAGCTGCTACTTCCAGCTCATTAGCACGCTTCGACCACCAGGCTTCTCGGTCCTTATGCAAGATTGCCCGATTTAATTACGTAACATCCTTCGTCTGTGGTCAAACTCACGGTCACCCGGAGT